CAGTCTGTCAAAGGCAATTTGCACAGAGTTTCATCTTCCAACAAAATACAAAAAAAAGATCTATATGTTATTTTAGAAGCAATGCTGATTTCTCTTTCATCTGTTTCTTTGCTCCACTTATCGTTATAAATAACTATTTAATACCGATTATAAATTAATAAAAAAAGAAAGGCGAATAAAATCACTAAGTAATCTTCAAAACACTATCAATTGATAGATCAGCCCATCATGCAATAAATTGTTTATAGCTCCTGTCGTTTATCACGTTTTCCCTCAAAACTGCTATCGTACTGTTCAATCTGTAACCACTTGCTGAAAACGGCAGTGGAGAAACAGTTCTGTAAAATTAATTTCGAGTGCCTCAGCGTTAACTAGAGGAATTATCTATCTACAGCACCAAGTACAAACCATGCAAATTACGTGCATGTGTAAATTTAATTATTAAATATTACCAGGCAGATTACACCGAAAGAGACTCAGTTCCCCAACAATCAACCATAAATTACTTCAAAGGCACTTATTTTGAACTTCCTCAAACTGGCAGGGCCAGTCTTTCAAACTACATATAAATCTATCTATTCCTTTTTTCATTAATTTGGTATTTTCGACTGTCATGTGATAATTTGCTGTTGCAAGAAACTTCGTCATTTCCTTTTCCCTTGTAGAGTACAATATACCTTTATTACAAATGATAACAGAGAGATATTTGTTTTCCTTTGTTTGACCCATCAACGACCAAGAAATACCAATCACTTTAGTTGATTCTAGTCCAATCTAGGAAAATATCGACGATTAACAATATCAAAGCAATCTTTGGAATCTTCTGCCGATCTTCGGCGATAACATTGAAAAACAAACACTAATATGAACTAGTTTGGTCATCAATGGGTTAAGCACCAAGCACCAACTATGTCATTAAAATTACACCTATATTATATTCAACTCCGATAGCGAATGCGTTAAGTGGTGACTACAGCCGATACGTGGATTTACTCGAAGTCACTCGTTATCACATTCTCACGTCAATCGAGACATCCAAGATTCACGTATCAACGCTGATCTTCTCACCTATGCTCACTGTTTCTTTGACATCAAAAAAAAAAAAAAAAATCCTAAAAATTCATCGCACAATCCTAGATTCTGTTCTCCTCCCCAAGAAAACAAAAAGAAAATAAAAAGAAAAACACTTCGAACACCTTCGAGCGTCAAAGAGGTGCCACCAGGACCTGAACTAACGTCAGAAGCTGCACCCGATCATCAAGAAACTAGCTGCAAATTCATCAGATCTCCACGCAAGATATTGACAGACATCGTTTCCAAGAGGAGCCATCATGGAACACGATTAACGTGATTACCCACAGTACTTTCAACGGCAACAATAGCAACGAGGGATCGCAAGATCCGACCGAACCTCTTCGTCAGATCATCCTTAAAATTTGATTCAAGATCCCGTCGACGCTGTTCTGCGCTTTCTCCAGTTTCCCCTCTGTCCTCTCCGTGTTGCCATTCACCACGGCGGACCGATCCTTCTCGTCAGAAATCTCGCGAGCTCTCTCGTTCGCCGGCAAGTTGCTCGAGGACTTTCTGTCAACGAGCCTGTCATCGATCTGATTCGGTGGCGGGATGACTTGTCTCAGTTCTTTGTTGCTCTCGATCTGGTTCACGTCGGTGACAGATTGCTCGCTCTCCTTTCTCTGGTGTTTCTCTTGCAGGTCGTAGGGCAATGGTAACACTTCAGCTTCCTTCATCTCGTTGGGACCGACTGGTACAATGTTGCCATTCTTCTGAGCGAATTGAACGTCGTTCATCTCGTTCGGGCGTTGCTCGTTCGACAGCAGTGGGTCCTCGATCGTTTGCTGAGCGATCGGCGCGTTCAACGGCTGCGGATTTTTATCGTCACTTGTCTGCGGACTTACCTGTTGCTGCTGCGACCGATCAACAGGCTGCTGTCCCGCGTTCTCCACGTCCGCGGATCTCGCTTGTGACGGCCGCGGATTCGCCACGCTCGGACCCGGCGAAGTAGCCCTGCGCGCAGCTTTCTGTCGAAGAAAAATAAATAAAAAATAAGCTACAACGGCTTTAAAAAAATAGACTCTTCTTAAAATAACAGATGCTGAGAAGATTCTTTGAAGGAAAGGACACATTCACATTTAACTGAAGACTCTAACGGAACAATAGGATTGAAAATTGGAGACTTTTCTAAAAATTAATCAATCATCGAAATTTTGCGTTTCCTTTAGTTCAACAGAGACTCTAGGCTAATTTCCTATTCACCTTGGCCTCTTCCAGCTCGCGCTTCAACTGAAACACCTCCTTCTTGAGATGCTCGATGGTGCTGTCAGTGCCCCCGTTGCTCTTCAACATGTCGTTGTACTTTTGTTCCAGCTCGTTCTTCTGCGTGTCTAGCTCGAGAAACTTGTTCTTCAGGTGTTCCAAGGCTTTCTCCTTGTCCTCCCTCGCTTGCCTGATACGGCTGCGAAGTTCCCTGAGCGTTGTCTCCAGTTTACTGGTGTCTTCCAAAGCTTGTTGATCGCGCTTCTTGCATTCCTCCTGCAGGTCTTGGTGCTCCGTCTGCAGCAGCTTGTAAGTCTGCTGCAACGAGTTGAACCTCTGCATCGCCTCTATGCTGTCCTTGTCCCTCAGCGACTTCTCCCTCGACGCGCGCTGCTGAAGTTCTTGCCTTACGGCCGCGTTCGAACTCTTCTCCTCGGCTAGCGACTTCTCCAGCCTCACTTTGTACTCGAATATCACTGAAAAAAGTCAAGACAATTGTAGACAATTTTCTCTTTTCTTTTTCAATAATGTTCCCTATAAGTTTCCGTAGAGTCTCGTTCCAACACCAGAACCACCAGATTGATCAAAGTAACCAAGTCAAATTTACAGTAATCTTCCAAATTTATAGTGACACAGAAGCTTTAGAATTTAATCGTCGGTAATTCTAGTACTGAAAAATACAGTTTTCTATTTTTTGATTGTATCTGTTGACCCATACCTTGAAGCTGGGCAGCCAGAGCCTCCTGCTGATGGGCACACTGAACGTGAAGTTCTCGAAGCCTGGCCATCTCCGAGGTGGCGGCGCGGTAGAGGAACACTAGGAGAATGACCACCACCCCGCAACCTCCGTACACGGCCAGGCGACCACCCCGACCCCTGCCAAGTCTAGAACCACTCATCTCTGCAAACAATTCATACCATGGTATTATTACACACGACAACTCCAGCAATCATGGCACAGGAAAGAAAAGTTTGTCCGTGTCTATCATAGGTGAATTGTATACCTTGGATTTGATGTAAACACATGTAGAGAACCTGTCGCAAAATTGATCTGGACCTTGAATTTCAAGGTTGAAATTTTTTTTTGCATTGTATTCTACTCATCACGAAGGAACCATATGTCATACCCTAATAGTTCTGCTGAAAAATAACATCATTTAATATTGTGGACACGTTCTAACAGCGACTTTAGGATATTACGTAACTTTTGTATTAAGTTTTTATCATAGTTGTAGCGTGAGTACAAGTGTATAATAATCGAGCGATAAAACTAACTGTTAACATTATTCGAAATTATAATCATTACATAATATAGACATCCACGCGTCCAGAACCATAAAGTCGCTGTTAGGAAGCGCGCGTTCTAACAGCGACTTTAGGATATTACGTACTTTTGTATTAAGTTTGTATCATAGTTGTAGCGTGAGTACAAGTGTGAGTACAATAATCGAGCGATAAAACTAACTGTTAACATTATTCGAAATATAATCATTACGTAATATAGACATCCACGCGTCCAGAACCATAAAGTCGCTGTTAGGACGCGCGCGTCCGCACTGTTAAATAATTAAGAAACTTTTTTGCCATTTTTTAAGAGAACTATTAGGTTCCTTTGAAGTTAGAAACCTTCGTAAATGTGTACTTATTACCTTCGTAGCAATAAATAGAATACAATGCAAGAGAACAAAATTTATTTGTCCTTAAAACTCAAGATCAAGATCAATTTTGCGGCAGATTTCTATCAAAATACATCTATGATCGCCGCAGACAAACTTTCCTTTCCACGCTGTATAAATTGAAATAAGTCGAAACGAACAAGGAACGTGGAAAGAAAATTTATTTCGCACGAGCCATTTTGAGAAAATTTCGCTCACTTCGAATACCTTCCACGTCCATTCAAGTTCAAAACTCACGCCGAAATAATTACAAGGTAATTTTTTATTCGTGTGACGGAATAAAGAATTTGATCAATTTTAAAGAGAAGTGAAAATCAGGAATAGAATTGAGAGAGAATGATTCACTAGCCAATGCTAGTCTCGGCGCGACGTTGCATGCAAGTGAAAGTCGATGATCATCATTTTTATTTCGAGACATTCCCTTATGTAATGGCTCGAAAAATCGGAACGTTTCTACGAATCTGATCGAATCTGAAGTCGTAGAACCGAACAACGTTTGACTTCAATGAGCGAAGAACAAGACAGTGAAGTTTGTAATACGATTGCCATAAATCTTTCGAGGAAAGATATATAAAAAATAAACGCGACTCTGTAAAACTTTATTCAACGTAACATTGTCAAACCACACAATGTTCCAGGGGGTATTATATTGAAAAACAAAAAACTCGAAAGAATCTCTGATAGTGAAACTCACAATTAACTTTACTTGGCGTACAACAGAGGCATGAAAGAGAAAATTTATCATTTGAAGAAAATTTCATGGAAAAACGGTAACACCTGAAACGCGGAAATCAATCATCCACTGTTAATTTATCTTTCTGACATCAACACAGTAATCAGAAACCCGTTATCTGATTGAATAATATTTTATTAACAATGACAGCTCGCACAATATATCGAGTGATAAACCATGCGTATTAAACGCAGGGAAGATGTGTG